AGAAGGTCATTTTAAGGCAACTTTCAAACACCAAATAAATTTAGCAATACCCCAGCAGTACCTCAAGCCACCACTAATTTTACGCAAAATTGTGCCTCCCTACACTGCACAGCAGGCACCCTCCGCACTCCCACTGCACTGTGCCTGCACCCCACACTACACCACATGGGGCCACAGTGCAAGGCAAGTGACTCCCTGCATTACCCTTTTCCCCATCCCATGAGGGGGTCCACGCAGCCCACTCACCATGGGCTCCCTGAGCTCCACGGGCCATGCTGCTCCTCTCCTGCAATGGTGGGTGTCCAGGCACTGTTCCCTACAGGCTAACCTCTCTGGGGCTGCCAGTTGAACAGCCCTTAAATTCCTAGAGGAGATAGCTCAAGATGCAGCCACCAGGTCAGACCACTCATTTGCCATCAATATGACCCAATTCCTGCACAAAGCAATCAGATACACCTTCAAGGTGCAAGAGTGGTCCAGGGCTCTCAGGCTGCTGTGCTGGTCAGCAAGTGAATTATTCCACTGAACATTTTGTTGCTCAGGAATGTTCTTCCCACTCCCAATGCATATGGCTTAAAGTAAATATCCTGATCATTTTGGTTATGAAGTTTGCAGATAAACTGACCTCAGCTCCCTATACAGCACTAACCAAAAAGGGTCTCTCCACCCCCCATTCTTGCTGCAAAACTATTCAGCCTTAGGAGGGGATGGACTTAACTCGGGCTCCTTTCTGCGAATGCAAAGGCCCTTGAAAAGTTCCGGATCAATCCCAGTGCTCTCAATGGTCCACCTGTCCACAGAGCCACCCCCCCACACATCATCCAGCAGTATATTTCAACACAGACCTAGAGCAACTGGTAGTACAGTTTCCAAACTCTCATGTCTCTCTCTCAAATGACTGTAGATGTGCCAGTTGTAGTAGCTTTTCACACAGGACCACTTGCCCACCAGAATCTGGTGTTTGAAGGACACCGGCTCATTTTATGTAGTTACAGAATGGCTAGCTTGCAATCACGAGTGGCTTGGCCTACGTTCAGACTGGCAATTAGAAATGAAAGGCTCCGTATCCCATTACCCATCCCTTAAGCTGTCCAATTGCCAGTGGCTTGCTCTTTTTTCCCCAAAAACACTCCTTATGACAAATTTGTAGCATGGGGGGGGGGAAGCACCATTACAATGCAGTTACTAAAACAAAAGCATTACAGTACTTGACAGTCTCCACAGCAATCGTAAGCACACTGGAATCCAGTCTTATTGCAACATCTGTCCAAAAAACTACATGCATTAGTTTGCTACATGGAAACTGAGACTGAATCTTAAAAAACAGCTATGTTCTATCCAAAAACTTCCAGGTCCATCATCATGTTAATCCATAACCCCTTCACCAAGAAAGGGTATTGTCAACAATTAAAATATTTGCCCTGTTTATTGGGCAGCTGCAGTCCACTGAAGAAGGCAACGTTATCTAGCTGCCGCTCTCAGATGGGGCCAGGTGTTCAGCAGCGATTTATTTCCGTTACTGTAATATGGAGGAGGTTGTTGAAAGGCGTTTTAAATCCACTGTCTCTTCAGAGCTCTCCAGAGCATGTATACTTTTCACAACCTCCACCCCAAATTCTCCCATCCAGCCAGAAAGGAAGTTTTTCTGGATTTTCTAGGATAGAAATAATTGCTCTGTTTGACGGCACAAGCAGCTCAAGGAGAAAAAGGTATTGCCTCCACTGCCCCACAGGTATGCCAGCAAGAGACTCCCTAAACATACCACTACCTGGCTCCAGTGCAAGGCTAATATTATTAAAGAATTTTGCATATTAAGAAAACATGATTTGATCAGAAAATGCTTCCCTCCGATTTGGGAATTCCATCGAGCCTTTTCTACATGTGATACATATAAGCGTTTAGCAATTTATCATTTACTCTGGAGAAACTGAAATATTCAGTTATGCAGCAGCTAACCATGAACAGAAAATAAACTCAGAGACAAAAAAACAGGGAGGGGGAAGGGGAGAGGGAGAGACCTAGTAGCAGTTTAAAAGCATGATTCATCTGTGGGACTGCCATGAAAAACACCACCTGAAAAAGCTTTACACTTCACTTCGACAAAGTCACTGTAAGTTCAGTCGCATCAAACACTCTTGGGTTACTTTTGCTTTAGTTATATGTTGCACAGAGTAATCTATCAGCCTCCTGGACACCTAATAATCCCTGATCAAATATACAAAGGAATCAGAGTCCAAAGCCAGAGAGCTGAAAAGTATTTTATATGTTATTCAGCTGCAGTCACTCGTAAGAGCATTATCTGGGAGCCGCCTCGTTCTCCAGAGTCATAAAATGGGCTGATCTTTCTGCTTTGATTTCAGGGGGAAGTTTTGCGGAGTGTCATCCAGCAGGACTGCTCCACACAAAGGCTTCAGGATTTGGCCTCTAATCCTTAGCACAGGGGCTGGTTCCAAGGACTCCCCAGTTCCCACTCTGTACCCTGGTCAGATTGCTCGGGTTACTCGCGGCCACAGAGATCTCCGAGCTAGGAAGGACTGGGTGCAGAGCCAAGTGGAAATAGCACTGGTAGGACAGCCAGCCAGGAGACATGGCCAACTACAGATGGATGGGTTATGTGCAAGGCTCAGAGGTACTGAGGGTGGGGCCTCCAAGCACAAGTTTGATCAAATCAAGAGGCAACTGGAGAGTCTGCATCTAAAATGTGGTTTATTAAAATCTAGCTGTGGAGCTGCCAGACATGCACAGTAACAGCAGAGCCAGGAGAGGTAGGCACAGCCTTTGGCACTAACATGACTAAGCCCCTCACTGGGTTTAATGTACTTATCCTCATGGCATCCCAGAAAGGCAGGAAGTGCTATTTTCCACATTAAAAAAAAGAGAGTGGGACTGAAGCACAGAGCCACAAAAGGTCCTCCATGGTCACCGGTGGATTTTGGTCATTTAAGCTGGGTCTCCAAAGCCCCAGGTTAGCACCCTACCCACTAAGGACATAGCTGCTGGAGGAAAATATCTTAAATAAATATCAAACTTTTTCCAATAGAGAAGCCTGGGCATAGCTTGGGCCAATAAGAAACAGAATATAAAACACATGGAAACAGCACTGAAACTATCACTGCATTTTTGGCCGCACCCCCACCCCGAAAAGTGCTGTCCAAGGAGCCTCCCTGCACAACGCACATGCTCTATAACATGAAGCAAGGGGCCAGCACCTCAGCTGGAAGTGACACCAGCTCCCTGACCAGTGTCTGCAGGGCAAGAAGAGTCAGCAGCAGGATTTCACTATGCAGGGTTTCCAGGTGGTACCTTGCTTCCCCGACTCAGGCAGAAAGGTACATAATTAGGTGTGGCATCAATCAAGAACAGCCAGAGGTGCTGCCACTGGATGTAAGCCCGTGTCCTTACTGCAGACCTACAGCAGGGCCTTCTTACTTCTCAGGTCCCAAGTCCCCGTAAAAAAACACAAAACAAAAAAAAACAAACAAACAAACAAACAAAAAAAAAATCAATCTAGATTGAGTTTAAGAGCCCTCCAGGCTCTACCAAAAGCCTAATGTGCAACACAGACATGCTAACTGTATTCATTCTACCCACACTACGTTTCTAATTGTACCCAGACAGTTTTCTTTCAAGGTGCGAGGTGCGACTCCAGTATTGCTCTTTGGTTCTGGTGCTGACTCAACCAAAAGAGTAGTTTGCAGAGATAATTTGGCGGGGTGGAATAAATTACCATTTTTGTACTTCTTTGATACAAGCGATATTTCTGATAAACTCTTTGCCACCAGCTGACGTAAAAAGAAAGGACAGTATCATGCCACAAAAGCAGTAACACCATGACCCTATGCACTTTCCGACATAGGTGGTTTGCTAAAGTTGGAACATTGCTGCTGCTGCTAACTTCATATATTATTTTCAGTGTGCATTGAAGATAAGTTTCATTGCCTTTAAATACAAGTTACACTCGCTTAATGCTCTCCTGATTCCGTTTCTAAAGAAAATGGAAACCTAAACCCCAAGAAAGGGTAAGATGTTTGCTGACCTAACTATGACCCAGGAGCAGCCCTGAAGCCCAGACAGAGCTGCACTGGACCATCATAAAAAAGGGAGATGAGAGGCCACAAGGAGTTTTCCTTTAATCCTTTCTTTACAGGGAGAGAGAACGTTACCTTGTACTTCTTTAATCATTTCTATACAAAATAAGATGGAAAATGTATCAAAGTTGCAACTATTTTTTTTACTTGTAGGCAGGGCAGACAATGGCGCTTGTTAACACTGCCCAACATCTACATTAAGATCCTATTTTCCACTGCTAACATTTTAACCATTTTGGTGGAAGCCTGCCATGGCAGGGTTTCTGTCTCAAGCTGAATGTTTTTCCCCTACAAAAAAAATATTTTTGCCACAACAGCTTAGCTGTTTCCAAGAATGAGACTAGGAGGAATTACGTTTCACTGCAGTGAAACGAAATTCCTGGCTTTGAAAAGCTGAGGTGTCCAAAGGCATACAGGAGGGGGGAAAAAAAAGGAATCAGTCCAAATTTGGCCACATTCAGCCTTACAAAAAATTAAAAAACCCTCATTATTTCCACATGCTCAGTAGACAGCTTGCTAGACTTTACCAGCTAAAATCTCTGAAGATATTATCTGCACTGCTGTTGTATGATGATACCTATGCACGAAGGGAGGTAATTCAGATTCGACAACCAACCTTAATGCATTTCTTAACTCGAGTATTCAACATTTCCAACTTAAGAGGTTTTTGTGCTCAAATGTTCCACGCCATTCCTCCTTGTCCCTCAAACTAGGCTATGGAAATGCTATTTCAACAATACCCTTTTGCCTTGGCACACTGGATTTTTTCCATCTCCCTACTTTCTGCCAAGCCCTTTATACATTTTTACAACCAGTTAAGTTGCACGTCAAACACCATTGCCACGCAACTCCAGATGTGGGCACTTTCTGTTTACACAAGTTGTTTCTACTACTGTGAAAGGAAAAAGGTACCTATGGATTTGTCCGTTCTTATGCAGGTATTCCAGCCCCTCCAGCACCTCCCTAAGGATCGTAGCGATACAGGGTTCATCCAGGACTCCATTCTTGTGCTCTCCTTTTGCCACAATGTGCTTTATAATATCCAAGACAGACCCTAGAAAGAAGACAAAAAGTTGACCGAGTTCTTTAGCTTAAACACTAGAAGGGATTATTCTACACAATTAAGCACTAATATATGGTCCTCTTGTGCAGAAATCAAAAGCAGCTTGGGGTGAGGGGATCGGCATGCGTTTCCAAACCCAGACAATAAAAATCTTTACCTCTCCACTCTGAAGGGGAAGCACTGGAATTACCCAAAACTTTTCAGCGAAACTTGAAAGCCCTCATTTTTACCTGACTGAGGTCGTGGGGAGTGTCCTACAGATCCTCAACCACTAACCTGACTTAGAAAACCCAACCCAAGGCAGATACATGGACAGGAATAGTCTGCTGTTGGTTCGTATGAATACTACAAAACACCGGTGTTAAAAAGGCAGATGTCAGCATCTGCATTTCCATTTCCTCTCCTTCCCTTTCTCTTAAATGAATTCCATGCTGGGACAACTCAATAGAACCTCATTTTATTTTTCAGTTGCTAAAGGCATGGTAGATAGGAATATTAAATGTTATAATAGTTAACGACCAACATTCCTTTATAAAAGGGAGAAAGGGAAGGGATAAAAACAAAAAGGGAGTTAACTTTTCAGTAATAAATTACTTCCTTGCTATTTACAAAATTGGAATGGAGCTCAAATCCTTCTCCAGATGTGTCCAGCGCAAGCCTGCTCCCAACAGGGGTGCGAATTACATCATCTTGGATGATGGACCATGCTCTGGAGATCAAGTCTGTTCTCCAGATTGTGCCCAGGAACAAATGTGGACTTGGTGAAGAGATACAGCATCATGCAACATCCTGAACAGCTGACAGGCTTCTGCAAACAGCCTCTGTATCTGCAACTAGGGACTAGGAGGAAGAACACTCAGAGAACCTGAATGTTAACCACTGGCCACAGCAAACGTGACCTGCAAGGCTATTCTCTTGGACTAGGTTGTGTTTAGCTAGTAATTTGGAAAGCTGATTGCTTCCAACACTGGCTTTGTATTCTTTAACCCTGCAATACAATGCAACTGTTGGGTCTTTTAGCGACAGAGGTGTAAAAAATCAAATGTCAGCAACGATTAGAAAGTTTTGGAAAGAAACAGAAAACCAGGCATAATTGCAAAGCATGTCAAATTCTGGTCCTAAGCCACTTTATGTTCTTGAGTAGTAAGCTTATAGACAAAAAACATTTTAATACCAAATCAGCTCGTTTTGAACAGTCAAGACTTCATTTGGCCTAACACATGATTGCAATCACAAAAAAATGAACATGTTCTGACTTGTTAAAGACCAGTAAAAAGTCCTGAACTTGTTTAGGGTTTAAAACAGGCAGTCAAAAAAAACCTCAGGCTTAGTTGCATGAACTCTGATTAGTAATGGAGTTTCAAGCACATGCCCGTTAATACCTGCAGGCAAATGGAAAACAAAAGAATACCTGGGTTTTTGTTTCTCCCCCCCACCCCCCGTCCACCTGCCCCCAAATGCCCATCTATTGTTGTTAGCACCCAGGGTCACTTAATGGTAACAAAAGTTAAATTTATTTTTCGTTATGTCTTGTTCTTTCTAAGCGTAAACGACAATGCAGATTTGTTTTCTTCTCAGGTTCTTGTCCATTAACAAGTATGGTGCAATATTTTGGTAACGCCACTAGGGAATTTCATGCTCATTTGCATGAAATTAAAGTTTCACTGAAAGCACTTATGTGGATCCATGGTTTAAGGTAAGGTGGTTTCTATCATTTAGCAGTGGAAAGCATACAAGACACAGGTACCAGGAAACGGGCGAGCATAACGGATGCCTGAAACAAGGGTTGAATTGGGGCATTCATATTACCCCTAAACACTTTTCTTCCCAGTCCTCTTAACGCTGTTGCCCAAAATGTTTAGGATAGTCTACCTCTTTTGTACACCTCTACACAGCACATAGCATAATGAGACCTTGTGCAGAGCCTCCAAGTGCTCCTTTCAACCGATACACTAGACCAGGGCGCTTCGCTTCCAGCCCACAGGCCAAATGCAACCCACAGAGTTAACACTGCCATCCCTCCCCACTGCCAGTCCCAAGCCCCACACAGCGGGTCAGAGACAGCCCATGACCCTCTTCCCCCACAGCCAACTGGAGCCGAGCCATACCCCCCCGTCCCTGCCCACCCATGTGCCCTTCTTCCTCCACCCTCTGTGGGGCTGGACCACACACCCTCCCCCTGTGCGGCTGGTTCAGGGCTGGACTCCTCCACCCTTTCCTCCTACCCAGAGAGAATGGAGCTGGGCCACATTCACTTCCTCCCACTGGGGCAGGATCATGGCCCCCCTCCCACCAGGGCCAGGTTGGAGCCAAGCCAAGCCCCCTACCCCGCCATGGCTGGATCAGGGCTGGGCTGCTCCGTTTCCCCTCTGTGCAGCTAGATGGTACCCTGCTGAGCCTACCCTGGGTACCAGATTGGGTCCACTGGCTGGATCTGGTCCATGAAGGGAACAAGCCCTGCCCATCCAGTTCATTGAACAAAAAAAGGCTGAGCGCCACTGCACTAGACAAGAAATGCTCAGCCAGCATGCCTTGAGGTCGTTTCAAGGGTGTCACAAGGTGCCACACAATATTTAGCACTGTTAGGTGTGCAACCATGCACACAAGATAAACCCAGAGATTTCAGTAAGAATCCATAGTGTTAAAACATTCTGACCTGATATTGCAAAGGCGGCTGGGGCTAACAGGGCTTAGCCCCCACCCCCGCCGCAAACTAATTTCACGGCAGGCAACAACAGCAGCAGCACCACAGCACTGCTGTCCCACAGCACCCAGCGCCACTCTGCGTGTAGCCAAGCCAGTGCCACACACACGCTCAGCTCCACTACTCCAGTGCCACCGACGTACCCTGCCACCGCAGTGCCGCACCCAGTGCCCCCACCGCACACTTTCAGCCCCCCAAATAATATTTTCTCCCAGCGCCTATGCTCAGAGCCTGCAAATTGCTCTTTTTTGTTATACTGCAAAAAATGAGCAACAAACTAAGCCACAGCATTTTCTGAGGGGTGCCCTGAGTCACTTTAGGGGTGCCTTAGGCCTAAGGTTGAGAGCCAGTGCACTGGACAGAAAACAGACAACTTTAGGAAGCGTTCATCTGGAAGGAAGTACCCCATGTGTTCATATACGGGGCAAGCCCCATTTTAGGAAACAGCAAGTCGCCAATGCTGGCCACAGTCACCAATTACATCTCCCTCCTCAAATGGTTCTGTGGACGGGGGTGGAAGAGCTAAACTGAAAAAAACCAACAAAATACAGCAGAATCCATATACCCTGCAGGGTTAGGTCCCTTGCAACCCAAAAAAGATGTGGGTTAGCAAACTAGCTGGGCATACAGGCAGCTGCAGCCAACAGCTGCAGAGGATCCTCAACGAGCTCCAGCTGAGCACACAAGCAGTCCCCTTTGAAAGGAAGTTGCAGCAAACAGCTGAGTGGCTCCTTCTTAACTCAGCAATTTGTTGCAGATTAAAGATCTGGTTTCCACTGTACCATGTCTTCTGTATGTTAGCTCCATCCTCATGCCACTCTGTCCAAAGACTTTCCAAGAGGGTTTCCCAGCTCTGCAAAAGGAAAGCATGGGAAACGCCAGAACACAGAGTTAAAAAAAAAAAAGGTGTGTATTTTTGACCATCAAGAAAGCTGAGGTAAGTATAAACGCAGAATAAACTGAAGTTTTCCGTGCAGCCAACACAGACTCACAAGTGCGCGCTGGGTACTAGGCCTGCGCGAATAGGGAAGTAATCCATTCAGATCACCGTCCCAAACTGATTTGTCCAAATCAGCTTCAGAAGATTTGGCATCGATTCGAAGATTCGGTGGTTTGGATCGGCCAGGGAGAGGCAGGCACAGCCAGGCGGCTGCAGGTTCCCCCGTGGCTCCTCTGGCTGTGCCTGCCTCTCCCTGGGAAGGGACGGGGGACCATGGCTGTCCTGCCCAGCCCCAGCCTAGTCCCAGCACTACACAGGTTTGTTTGGTTGGGGGTTTTTTGGTTTTTTTTAACTCACCTGCTGCAGAAGGGGATATTGGGGCCTCTGGACCCTCCTGGCAGAG